ATGTGCACAATGCTTTTTGCACTCTGACACATCGTTGTGATTCAACACAAAAATGAGATTGAAATCATTGAATAAACATTGGCAAAGTCATCAAATGGCAAATAAAAATAAAAGCATAGGTATCGACATCGACATCACAATGCCATTCAAGACGACGCAATATAAACACAAACACACAATTTGTTTGAACGGAGCCATTTTTTTCCTGCTGATTCTTCGAAGTTCAGCATCGATAAAATATGAGTGTTGAAATCGAAAGTCAAAGTCGAAAGCACACCAAGCACAGCAACAGAACCACCAAAGGAAAAAGTGAGAACAGTAGTATGAGTGAGAGTGCAAAGCAAATGAAATAAAATACAAAAACAATCAAGAAAATTGTCGGTAAAGATACAGTCGCTCGTTCATCTGTTTGATCGCGTTTAGGCGACAAACAAAAGAGCGCATCAACTGGCAATCGAGAAAATAATATCTGCCATCAATTGACGTGACATATAAACTTTGTACAATATATACACAAGACCATACACGGTGTATCGTCGTATTCGTTATTCGAATGCGAACGAGCATCGGTGAGCGTGATTTTATTTATGCGTTCATTTCAAATGCCAAACAAAACGAGTTGTTTTTCGCTTCATTATGAAAATACGTGAAAAAAAAATATTATGTCTACACAAAGAGACAATTTACTGAGTCTCGTTTTTCGTTTTATTTTTATTTTCTTTCATGTATGTGTGCGTGTGTGCACACTATATCAGGGCAGGGTAGCACATGCATTTTACACCAAATGAATCCAATTGACAGCAGCACAAATTTATGTTATCGTTTATATTTTATTTGCAACCGAATTCGTTATGTGTGACGCTCATGTGTGTGTAATATGTATTTGCACGCTACCATTTTATTATTGTTTCCTTCGCAACCGAACGAGAAACCAGCATGTCATTGCTGTTGTATTTAATTGATTCAGGTAGAATAGCATAAGGTTAGTCGAACTGGAATCATTTATTTATTGATTAGCTTGTACCGTATGGCGTTGTCACGATCCCTTCGACCTTCTTCGAAAAAGAACCTAATCAACCTTCACAAAAGTATAATCAAACACATAATGAGAACCGCTTCTTTTCTTTGTCCGCACGGTGGACATAGAAAAATATTCCATTAATTCATATTCCACCGGACTCTGAAATAGAAGGTCACCAAAACATATTTTAATATATTCTTTGGAATTGATAATACAGGTAAGTTTTTTTTTTCAATTTTATTTCAGCAAATGCATTTGCTTCACATGAAGTCATTTTGAAGAATTCAAGTATCTTTCGTAAAAAGTAGAAAATCCATGATATTCGTCGCATTTGACAGTTTCATTTAATATTTGGGCCGTTCATCATTTGTTGAGTGATACTTGAACGCTCAATAGCTTGTGAATTTCAAATTGAAAATGGCAAATAATCATGGATTTTAATCTATTGGAGTGTTGATCATTTGATTTAAAATGATAATAACAAATTGAAAGTGATTTTGTGCGAAAAATAAACGAAACTTGACATTTTTTCTTGAAAAGTCTTCTTCTCTTGAGAATATTCGATTTAAATCGATATAAACAAGATTTTTGCTAGTCTATCTCCCGAAAATTAAATGCAATGAATGTCCGTATACATTCAAATGCTGTTTTGCATTAAAAAAATCAAATCGTTTTGTTCGATTCCATTGTCATGTGTCACGAAATGTTTGTATTTGAAAAAAAGAGAAAAAATGTGCTATTTGGAAAATTCAAATATTTGCAAAGATGTTGAGGGGAATGTCGTTCGTGAAATTGATTTGAACGTTTCTATTATTGTATTCGGGAGTCTTTTTTTGTGAGAGTGTTGGTCTTGAATTTATCGTAAATTATACATGCATCGTTACATCTATGTACTCAACGGATAAACATTAATTTTATGTGCTTATTCTTAAGTACATTCAAAATAAAAGATTATGATTAGCGTTTTGTGTGTTAACGAAGAGATTTGTTTGATTTTACGTCCCTCATAAAATGAACGAATAGCATTGTAAATGTGTATTTGCCCAAAATTCATCACCATGTCAATTTCATTAGATTTTCCCATAAAAATGTTTTCTCCTGTTAATTGCGAAAAAAGCGGAAAAAATGGGTCTGTTTGTTGTTAAAATATATGTATTGTTTGCCGTGTGTGACACATTTTCTTTTCATAAATCGATTGTGCTTTTATGCAGAGCATTTATCTGCTATTATATGGTAAAGCGACCCAAACCAAAACGTACAGAAAGTGTATGCCGCTCATATATGGCTGAATCAATCAAAAACGTTTCCACTAAACACAAAATTCGTTGCTAAAATATGCATGTTTTTATAAATAATTTCCAATGTAAACGCAAACGTGAGAGTATGTTTGCGACATATATTTTCCACATTTACCGTTTGAGCGTCAATTCGGCGAGGAAAAAGGGAAACACCTCTGACACAAACACGAATGAAGTGTGGCGATCAAGTGCTGCCAGTACGAAATGTGTGCGAAATATTTAATGAGAGGCACAAAGGGTGAAAAAAAAAAAACGAATCAATTCTCAATGGAATTGAACATGAAAACCGCATATCAAAAATGCATCCGATTTTTCGTCACATGAGAAAATTACGGCAAATCTACCACAAGGGACTTCAACAACGGTATCGAATAGTTTAGCGTGAAATATTCATCGAATATGTTTATCTAAAAGAATGCATTTTGCTCTTTGAATTTGCGGAGCATGTTTTTTCACAATCAAAATCAAAATCTGCTTACTTTCGGTCTCAGTGTGTCAACGTGTACGATGTGAATTTTTGCAATTGCCATTCATGGAATATTCATTGCTCCACTCTTTGATTCGATATGGTCACAACGATTATGTGAACATTGCTCGTCGAGCCATTGCGGTTTTTGCATAAAACATTTGGCGACATAGATGAAAATAAAAACCACCAGCTTCAAGTAACAAAACTCTTGAAATGACTCGAATAATAATAATATGAAGGCAATTTTATAGGCAATAAAAATTCGATTCTTTCAACTGTGTTACGTGTTTCACACTATCTCTCTGGCACTCCATTTGATGGAAAATTCTCTTAACTCGCAAATTGAAATGTTAAACGGTTATGGATAACAAGAAAATGGCTACATTGAATTCAATGTATGGCAAACAGTGATTTTATGAATAGAATCATGTCGACGCAACATTGAATAGGTTGTCGTCAATTCATGCCGTAAATGCCCACAAAATATCTTCGAATGAAAACAACATATTATAATAAAGAGGACGCACACACACACACCGAACGTGTCACGGTTTACTTGTTGCTTTGCCTATTCAAGCCAATCGATTATTCATTCGGCAAATGCGATTCGCAATCACTTACGTCGCACTTCGCACATTCTCATCATATCAATTAGGCGGATCGATAGCGAGAAAAGCGAGCATTCAATTCAGCAGACGAATGTGAGAAAATGTGAGCTTGCACGATTGAAAATCGGATTGGTTGCCAAATTAAATAGATCCTTTATTCATTGTTAATAATCACCAAGCAAATTGCAAGAAAGGAGTCTCAGGCATTTTTTGTTTGCTACAGAATAAATGAGTAACCAATGAATTGAGCTGGTAACATAATATTTTCGACAAATATTTCTCATGCCATTCCGATACTCCGAATCAATTTTGTTGCTATGGGATACATACCTCTGATAGAAGGGGATTGACGTCATTTTATGGAATCCATTGTGTGAATAAGCAAATAGTTGTCTATTTTATTAGACCAATTTTCGAAGCGACACGCATTTTTGCACGTTCGCATTGATGGACGCGGTATGAACAGGGTTAAATCTCTGGCATTGTTTGCATTTTTTATTTAAACAAATTTGTTGCAATTGTTGGTGTTTACTTCTTTCTATGAGGGGAGCGGACGGTGTGAAATGTAAGGAAATAAACAAGCAGTAAATATGGCATCCCTTTTTTTCAATTGTGGGTTGATGAACATTTTCAGCAAAGCAAGGTTTTTGAGCAAAGTTGAAAAATGTCTTAAAATCTTTGACACTACTACTAACTTCATTTTAATCACCATAAGCCATTCTTGCTTTCAACGGATGATTATAACCTGTGAATTCACGATTATTCATTAGGAAAAGAAGTGAACAATCGAACACATTGTTCCACATGGACGTACAGTAGATATAACGTCGAGTGTTGTTTGTGTGTGGAACAGTGTGAGTTTACATGGAAACAGCGCCATCACACAAGAGTGCCAACAGTCCAACACACACAAAAAAAATGATGATTGACAATGATTTTGATTTGACAATATCTGCCATACAGTATAAATGGCGCAGATTTTCTTCTAAATAATTGCAAACAACTATATTATCGTCGAATATAAATATTATTAAACAGTGAAAAGGTGAAAATCCGTGAAAACGGATCGTCGGGGTAAGTAAATATTAATTTAACCTCAAAGTCATGCCAAATCAGGCAAATATTTTGTGGTTTTCTTCTTTTACCAATTCATCGAAATTAATAACGTCCATATTTATTACTTTAATCAAATGATCATGAGAGTGTAAATGTGTTCGTAAGAATAAATATGGCAATACAAAAACGGAATCTGAAAACGGAATCTAATTTTTTTTTTGTATGGAGTTGTACTATGTTAAAACAAAAATTATGTAACGTTCTTCAGATTCCGTTTTTGTATTCCCATATTTATGCTTACGGACACAAATGTTTGTCTGTTTCGAAATGCAATTAATCTTTCAAATTTTAATCTATTTTTTATTCGTATTCTACCTCCAGCCAATTAAAACCATCTTTTCTTCTGCCGGAAAAAATAACGATTTGCTGTTGTTCATGCTTTTCGAAGATATCAAATACGTACAGTAATTGCATTCTTACTTCCAAACTTTATAGCCATGATAATCATCGATATGCCATTTTTGATCTTCTTGATTGTTTCCTTGCAGTTTATCTATATGTTGGGTTGGGCGCTGCTGACTGCCACCCTCCCCCCAAGAGCCCTTTACATTTGTTTCGTTGTTCATTGTTTTTTTTGGTTCCTGTTTTTAACAAAAAAGATGTTGATTTCTGTTATGAAGAAATCTTGTTTAAAGAGCTAGAAAACTTTGAACAACATCATTTATCCGAAGAAGAAAACTATGATCTTGACTATATTCACGTCGAAATTTGGGTTAAAATTAATGTTGTGGCAACATTATTGACCAGTTCAAGTTACAACATACAGGCACAAATTGACGTTGCATTTGGCAAAGGTCAAGTCGTTGAGTTTCTGCTGAATCCAACTTTAAGGCCCGTGCAAGTGTATTTGAGCGAATATCATTTAATTGATGACTAATGCGATAACAGTTTCAGCGACGAACAATTTGCCAACAACACTTTGAACAATTTACCTCAAACTCAGCAAAAATCTCGAACTTTTCCTGGTTTACAGGCTACACAAGTTCAACACACTGGTATGTAACAAACGTTTCTCGGCGTCACATCATATCCAAAATGAAGCAAGTGACATCACGAATACACATGATCATCAGATTTTAAACCCGGATCCTGCAAAAATCAATTCTCCATTGGCGACTGAAAATATTCGTCTTACCAGTAAGTGAATGGATTTTATATGTTGGTTGTCTTAAACCCGGTAATATGATGACTATTGTCCGTTCCCAAATCTACGACAACGCCATCTCTTGTTCCCCATCTGTTGCGAATCTTTTAACCAACCAATATTGATTGGTTCAAATTAAATAGTTTAATATAAATTCAAAAAGGGTTCAAGTCTAATCCCGACTATTTGAAAAATCCTCAGGTAAAATATTAAAACAAAACTTGAAACAACTTTTTTGAATTCATTTTTTTAATTGTCGTCGATTTCATGGAGTAAACATATAGAAACAATATACATCACACTTTATAACAGAAGAACGAAACATGCTGTGTATGAAAATACTAATACATGTGCGCATGCTCAGCTTCGTTTCTGTGATGACCACTTTAAGCGTACATGTGATGCTTGTGTATGTATTGTTTCTTTAATCTCTACAGTGTACTTTACTGTCAATTTCGCTCCTTTAAATCGATGGCAATTTATATTAAAATGAATTTTTTATCAACAAATGATTTTAAATATGGTTTCAATGATTTAAATGAGGATTTTTTTCAAAAAATGTGGGATTAAAATTAAATTCTTTTATTTTATTTTAAATTCAAAAGTCACAGAAATAGCTACTGCAGTGTAACCAAAGATGGCGTTTTCGGTTAAGATGCCAGTGACGTTTACATATAAATATGTCAACGCAATCCCCGGTTAGGTTGTCTTATTGAAATGTTCAATTATAGGCAAAGTTGCACGTAGCAACGACAATCGCGGTGCTCAAACTGCATCAGATATCCATTTGACTTCGGTGATTGATGATACCGGTAAGCGAATGAATTTTATATGATGATAGTTTTATTGAAATGTTCAATTATAGGCCATGATGCGAGTGACAACTCAATTTATCCGAAGTCTCAACCGTTTTTGGGATAAATTTTAGTATGCATTTTTTCCGCTCAAATGCCAAAGTGATATATGTTAAGCACTTAAATATTTGAGCGGAAAAAATCTTGTTGAGACTTCGGAGAAATTGAGTTTTATGTCAATTTTTGTTCATATTGAGGTTAGTTGACATTTGTGTGTAGTGTGACACATTACTAAAATATCAACTTTTTTCTAATGCTGTTTATGTGTAGGCAACACAAATCCTCAAAATGGCGTGACCGCTACAGAAATTGCTGAAGGATATAGTTCAACGCAACAGTACCTTGGTCTACTATTTACTCTCGTTGACGAATATTATATCATTTTTCAGATTGAAAAAAAAAATTGAAAATCATATTGCGTACCTTTGTGTATTTATTCAACGGCATATTTTGTGTTTAAGCATTGACTACCGAGTATTGAGGTGGAAGTAAAATATTTTCCTTATTTGATTTTGCAATTTTGCAACTTTTTTTTTGGGGGGAGTTCCAATAAAATTCATATATCACGTAATCTACGTGACAAGAAAGTATCGAGATTTTTTTTTTTGTGTTGGTCGTCAAGACTCAATTATTTCTTCGAAAATGTTAGACAAAGAAGAAAAACACAGCGTACAAAATCAACGGTAGCCAAGGTAGCGTGCACAAGAAATTGGATGGCATTGTTATTATGATGTGAATAATACAGTACGGCGAAAAAGCCAAGGCTAATGCAAGATTCAGAAAACCGCAATAAGTTGTAATGACTATGAATATGGCTATAGAGTTGAGCGTAAGTTGGGTAACATAGCAAATGCTATCCATGCAATATAAATAAGCCAAAGTAATGTTGGTTGTATGCGAGTCGTAAGTCAAGTGCTTTGCTAAATGCTTAGAGATTTTTGTTGCCATTGTACTCTTCCGTGAGTGCCATTTACTCATTGTCGCATAATGACCCCAGACGAAATACGGTGATTTGTTCATTAGAAGCGTGCAATATGAACTATGTGACACCTTCATTCTCTTTCTAAAGCTCACTCTCTCTTCCACTCGTTAAATGTATTGGATAACAATTGCATGATTTTCTGGCGCATATAGTTTTTTGTTTGTTTGTTTGAATAAAATACTGTTTTAAGAGTTTTTGCGTCGAGAATCATATTGAATAGAATTGGATGGCATTTTTAACCATTTTCTCGCACATTCAAGAAATAATAACTTTTTAATGGTAACAAATTCAGAAGCCCATTATTTTCTCTCATCTGAAGTTTAAGCATCTGGTTTTCGGTGTGAGAAGCAAGAAGAAATCAATTAAACGCTGAGTTTTTGCCTCTTGCTGTTGCTGTTAAAACGCCAGCTAAAACACATACATAATTCGCAATTTATGATGCAAACAAACACCTCAGACGCGCCTGTCTGTACGCGCACTTTTTCCTCTTATTAAATTTATTTCTGTTATTATTTATTTAGTTCGGTGGCGGACGAATGGGTGTCGAAGCGAAAAATACATACACTCACAACCGTGAAAATAAACAAATATTCGTGTGCTTTGGTGTAAAATACTCAGCGATGAGTGAGCGTGAATGGGGTGACTGGGTGTGAGTATGTATTAGTTTTATGGTTGCAACAGCACAGCCAGCTATAGCAATGGCAGGCCCCATTTGATATGGTCACCACGAATCTAATTTAGTATCGAACTTGTTTATAAATATACGTGATGCGAATAAATTGAAAGGAAGAGGGTCAATACTGCAATGCAAAATACCACAAGAGAAAAAGAGAGAGAGAGAGCGTGCGTGTGTTTGTGAACATGTTTTGTGCATGATATACCTTCAAAAACTGAAGCTGAAACGACGATGAGGCATTAAAATGAGAATAACAACATGAATGATGGAAACAATGAACGGAAATCGTATTGAACCTGTACTTCGATTATTTATTTATTTTTTTCTTTTTTTTTCGTCTTCTTTCGCAATTCTTTGTTGTTTCTTTCAAGATGCTGCGCGTGATATGCGGTGCCATGGCATATCGATGTCGAAAACCTGCCAAGTTAATCAATTTCAAACTTATTTCTTTCACTCTCTTCCGACAATGGAACGCTCGCATCCATTTCGATACATTTTGACGCAACCAACTCAAGTATGGATCCATTTTTCTCGCCATTCACCATATATATATATTATTATTATTATGAATGATTGATTGTATCGCATACAACCATTTTTTGGCAGTTCTTACAGATTCGAGGCGGTCATTCCGCGATCGATAATGTTCTCTTTTCTATAGAAAACGTATTGTTTACATGGAATAATTCTTGAAATCTCATTTAAAATTGATAAAAACGGACGCCAAACAATAGAGATAGTTGAACAAATGAAACAAACACTTCTGAACTGTACTCACATAAATTTTGCAAGCATTAAATACGTATGAGTGTTGGAATAAATGTGATCTCCTATTTTACCCACAAACATTGTACAGTGTACATTTAAATCTTTGACCTTCCTCAAATACAACAAGATTTTTTCGTCGAAATAATTTGCCGGCGATTTAAAAGTCATGCCAAAAAGCAAAAAATGGTATCCTTTATTAACCTAAACCAACTTCGGTCCATGTGTGACACCAAAATACCGAAAAATTTATGCGATCCTATTGTCATTTTGAGTTCGCGTTTGACAAAAAAAATGAAATCCTCATTAACTGCAACAACTGGAACAACACAACCGTTCAAAACAATCTTCTGTCAAAACATTTGGGGGCAACGTGCGTCTCGGTTTTACATTCTCTTCATATAAATTAATTTGGCAGACAACTTTTGTCGCCGCATTTTCGACAAATTAGGCATAAACGTTATCATTTTTATTGTATTCGTTCTCCTGTTCCATTATGACTTTTGTGTCATATCTCATTTACTTCGTACGGTGCGGCACATTTGAATTTTCATTTTTGTTGACAAATGTTCTTTGAGACCGATTTCAAAAACTTTTTGGGCCTTCATTCTCTCTCTCCGGAGCTTAATTTGATTTAAATTGAGGTTTAATGGCTGCAAAACAAAACCATGTCTACATATACTTCATTTGTCTACTCCATTTCAAAGTGGCTTTCATTTCAATTGTCTTTAGTTTCGAATACAAAGACTTTTAATGCTTCTCAATTAATTTGATCGTCTGAGCGATTATTGTTGATTTGAGTTTGGAAGCTTTTTCGAACATTTCAATTTCAAATGACATTGTTACATGTATAATTCAATTTTGGACTTTTGTTAATGGAACAGATACATTGGAACGGCCAAATCACTTTCTCTGTCTCTCGTAACAATTCAAAATTAATCGGAATGTTTTGTTCTACTAGTTTTTTTCTCACCAAGGTTGATTGTTTTTACATACCAAATTGAAACACAATACATCTAGCAAAACCTTTTTGATTGAATGATTGATTTTGGCCGCAAAAAAGTAACAAACTTAAACGATTGATGTGTTATATTGATGATCTCAATCAAAATCGAATGAGGATGCTTTGATTACTACGTGTAAAAAATCGATAGCTATTTTGAGTGATTTCCTGATTCACACTCGCTTGCGATACATCGCTGTCGATGGTGATTTAGATGTCTCGAAACCAAGCACAAGCACTTTTTTTACTTTAAATAAAATGCGGCGATAAAAATGATGGTTCATCCATAGTTACAAACATTTACACAGTGTCGTGCTAGTAATCGCTTGTCATTGTGCAGCACGCTGAATTTTATAGCATCATTTTTTATTATTACATATATTTTCTTCTCCAATCGTTTGTAAGTACACTAGAATAGTTCCCCTCTATCAACACGTGACTTACGTATTTCGATAGAAATACTGTATACCACAGTTACTCAACCCAAATATTTTCATGGTAAAGTCGATTGAAACAGATCTTTTTGTTTGGAAGACGTATACAAAATTCGAGAAATTTTCCACTTTTACAAGAAATTGAAGTGTTTGCGATTTGAACATTGGAAATTTTCGCTATTTTATACCCCTATTAATAATGAACTGGCGACAATTTTGTAATTGATCTACTTTGTTTGGTTTTCAATTAACTCATCAATTTGTGACATTTTCATGAATTTTATTGAATGTTTCGAATTTATTTCATTACAATTACAACGAACAAAATGTATCAAAACGAAAATCAAAAGGGGAAATTCAATGAAATGTACAATAAGAAAAACAATTTATTTTTTCCATGGACGCCTTCTTCCTCGCTCTTCACGAAATGACCAATGTCTTAAGACATATTCCCGTAACAACGGGTGGAATAATTCCGAATATTTGGCGCATATCTCTATAGCTAATGAAATTTTTAAATAATTAAAGAAAATGTATCGAGTGAAATTTGTTTGCGGTTACCTTCTGTCATTATTGGGCTTAAAACGAAGTTTGTCAGCTATTTTATTCATGGGATCCGATATGAATATACTTGATGTCAACTTAATGCCGAATGTCCGACAAATTTTTTCACTGATTTTAACCAATTCCACGTCGATGCCAGTATTTTTGTACTTGGGATCAATTCCAAAACCATCACTAGTCAAGTATTCCTTAACTCCATATTTTTGAAACGTATCAAAGCTGTACAGATCTCTTATTAAACTAATAAATTCGTCCAGTTTGTCATTTATATACTAAAAAAACATAATATGTAAGAAAAAAGAACCTCAATTTTAAAAACAACAACATTTTTCTCTTACTGTGGCAATGGTTTTGCTTATTATGTCTGCTTTTTCGACCACCGTTAATATACTAATGCCAATAATTTCATCTGAACCATCATTTCTAAAACAGGCCACCGACAATTTTTGTTTGAGTTGTCGTCTCCATTCTGCTTTAAAATGTTTTATAACTTCTGAGTCGTTCCAAAATTCTGGCAAAATGTTCAATTTTAATTTATATTAATACCATCAAACAAACGAGCAATAATCACATACTAAGCGCCACGTATAATGGTTCGTATTTGAGGATATATAGAGCCATCAAATCCACGACTTCATCGTATCTGTCTTCAGGTATATCTTTAATTATATATTCAACTTCTTCTTTGGGATTATGGATGCTTTTGGCCGTGAATGTATGCCATTCATGAGGAAATGGAACCACGTGTTCAGGACGTTTCCACGTTAGAAATGGACTACAAAAACTATTTTCTCCTCTGAGTAATGATTTGGTGATATCTGTTGCTTGAATCGAATCCAATAGTACAACGATCCCAATAAATGTGGTGAATTTTAAAATTAACATCTTTACGAGGCTAATTGAACGAAAGGTGTGAATTTACTGATAAATTCTGCGCTAAACAGACGATTATATAATAAAAAACAGATGCGCACACATTCAAACTATATCGATTCATGATTATTCCAAGGTCGATCGGCTTAGTTTTGTTTAAAGCGAATAAAGACAAGATTTTCTATCGACTTCTGCGACTTTTTTGTCTAAATTACTATGAACAATGAACATATTACCCAATTTCTTTTTATTTTTTCGATTTTTGTCGACTCAGTTCAAAAGTAAAAATCATCAAGAAGAATTACATGTAAAAGTCGATAACAAACGTCGGCTAATACTATAGTATGTAGAGTAATTGTACGCAAATATTGTTGCCAATAATAATTTAGATGTCTGAAAATGATCGAAAACCATGTACAACCGCCATTTGACACAAAAAATGTCGCGATGTGAAAATGATGAATTTCATCTGGTGTAATACACATGCACACAGTGTCGTGCTAGTAATCTCTTGTTATTGTTCGGCACGTCGAATTTTATGGCGTCATTTTTTATGATTACATACATTTACTTTTTCTTCGATCGGCACATGAGCGCATTAGAATAGTTTCGCCATGAACATCACGGAGCTCATCTACTGTGCGGCGCTTTTATGACCGATATAAGTTTGTCTTTCCGTAAATTGTTTCGTTTTCTCAGGAAATAGGTATTTTATGTGTGTATTGGAAACGATCAAATGGCCAAATAAATGACATTTTCCTCCTTCCATTCTCGTTACAACGAGCACCATCAAAGAAAGCAGCAGCAGCAACAACAACAACAACAGCGATGAATCGACAGAAAACGTATACTCAGCAATTTATTGTGATGGCATTGTGCTAGTGGCTTAAATCGCATTTTCAAACGATTGACAATTTCAAAGAATCTTTACGAACGAATGGATGGAAAATAGACATACAAGCGCGCGTCTATTCAAAATCATTTGAGAAAATATAATCTGAAGCCATCGGCGAACGATATATTGAACGGAGTTTTAGCTGAATTATGTATTCCTGCAATAAATAATAAATAAATTACGATATTTTTCGATGATATATTTTGAATATGTTCAACCAAAATATTTTGTACACGTTCAGTGGGTAGATATACGATGTGTGGTACACACAATATCAAAAATAATGACAAGATAGTAACGAAGAGTGAATTATTTCTCTTAGCTTTGGCTCAACTACAAATGTTTTACTCATACATGTATAAAATTTGTATGTGAGACGGAGAAAGTTTTGCGACTGACACTTGACACATTTCAAGATCTGCTTTTGCTAAAGCTAAAAACTTTCATTCCCTCTCTATCTCTGTTTTATAATATTCTTATATGTTTTTCTGACATTTTTCTTTCATTTTTCTTTGAATATTTGTACTTGAGGTCAAATGCAATGCAGTTGCTGTTCTATATTACATAGTATATTCATGGAAATCGCTCTTAAAACAATATTTGAGCAATATGTTTTTCGTTCGACCATAGTTCAAGTCTGTATAAATTGAGTTGCTTGTGAAACCATAACGAACATTCTCTCTATCTCTCTCCTCCACTTCTTCTTTCTCTTTCTCCTTCTCTTTTTCTTGTTCAACATGTTTTGCAACGTTTTTCTCTATCATGCAAAAGTTTATTTTTCTGTATCGAATTTGTTTCCGAATTCATCGATGTGCACAGTTCATCTAATAGAGTTTATCGATGGAAAATTATTTTGTTTGTGAATTGCTGTTGCTAATGGACAAAGTTACGAAGACGATGTGCTTGAGAACAAAGTTCTAGAAAAATCGTATTCAAATTGATTTATTATCCATTATCTCTTCATATTGCGCAAAATTCATATCATTTTCTTTGAGTCCATCACCTGAAGATTCATCACCATGGCAAAGAATGAGGTCTTCATGTTAGAGAGTCTAGATAACAAGTCGTCGACAAACACAGTAACACTAACACTGACATCCACTGTCAGACGCAGAAAAACGAATCTATCTGTATATATATGCTCAAAGGAGAACAGCATGCGCCGCCATCGCCATCGCCGAGCAATATATATAGAAAATTTAAAATAAGATTTTGATAAACGACAATGTCGACAAAATAAATACAAGCGTGTCTAACATCTTGACATAGGTAAAGAAATAAGAAATACAAAATGTTTGCTCTTGTGACTATGGTCGCTTCTATTTTGTTGAAAGAAAGCTTGACAGTATAAATATTGAACTGACGCAAAGAAAGAAATTTCGTTTACATCGTGGACAAAGAAAAATGTCTCGAAGTCGAAGTGGACTATTAAAAAAGTGAGCAATGGTGATAGGATGAAGCCAAATAGAGATGGTTCAAGTCATACGCACTACGTTCACCTTTTAAAATGTTTATATAAAGTCTTCATCATTCGGATGGCATTCATGAGACATGCTGTAAATCGATAATTATTTCATGTGTGTGCGTTTCATGAATTCCCTAATCGACTTCTGTTTTTAGGGTTTGGTGTTCACGTGCCCAGATGCCATTTCACAATGTCCAAACAATTTTCTAGTGTTAAACTTACATCACATCTGAAATTGTTATCAGCACAGCGTGCCCCGCACAACAAAAACAAAGAGTTTTTTTTTTGTGACTTTTGACTCGGATCTATCATTGTTCAGATCAAAAACATTTTCAACATAGCTCTATCACGTCTCGATGCAGTCACTTGTCCATTTCCATTCGTTTCGGTGTCTTTTATTTCTCGTGCCTATTGTCTTTATCATCAATCTGCTCTCGTAACATTCGCATTTGTAATAATAAATGATTATTGGATTTGAAAAAAAGGTCAAACCCGTCCGAAATGTTTGTCTTTGTCTCTTTGGCAAATTTTGTGAGCAACGAAAATAAAAGAAGCGAAATTTTCAAATCGTATAAAAAATGGAAACAAACACACTAAAATAAATTGAACTTTGCGGACGAATGAGAAAGAGAAAAAAACAACAACAGAGAATCAAAACAAAACACATTTCGTAGGAATTTTCCGAGGACAAAAATCAAATAAACATGTGTTATCTACGAAATCTGAGCGCACCAAATCCGAAAATTACTAACACTTATTTCGAACCCACTTTCGAATTGGCGAGTGAACAACAAAAGGCAAACATAATCTAAGTAAGTATGAAATAAATGATAGCTTGCCAATGCAATCACACACACAGCCGAAATGGAAATAAATGGACGTTTGGCCAACGGCTTCATTGGTGCCATGGTGTCAGAATATAAAAGAAAAATTGAAAAACATCACCCGTTTATCGTCGATATGAGAACGATTACACAAAACGATGATAGACGATGGATGAACGATTGGCACGGGCTTTTATGACTCCGGAACCCTTCAGGTATTTTTCGTTTTTTTCGTTTTCATTTGCACTTGAATCAACATTTCGTATACCTGATGTCTCTGTAACCAATATATTTTGCTCAGAGAATAAAGTGAACACACAAAAAGGCTTGTTGTACCACCGAAAAAAAAAGAAAGAGAAGAAAATCACAGCTTTATGGCCAATACAAAATGCACTGAACATAGATTAAATAAGCCGATGTAATGATGCGTCCATGGAGAATGTTGGTCACTTAAACTAGAAGCAATTCAATTTTTTGTGTAAGTGTGTGTCGCTTTCTTATTCACTTCAATTTATTCGATTGCATAGCAACAGCTTATTGATACCCAGAGGCCATCACACTAATGGAACTAATACATTTGAATGGATGCGAGAGAGAAAGAGAGAGAGAGAAAAGTTCATCACATTTTTCACACAAATCCGATATCAAAGCGTCTTTTCATAGTATAACAAACTTTTATTTCCACAGAAGTTTTCCTCTTTTTTTTCTCCCTTCTCTCAATCTCTTTTTTGCGCCCCATCGTAATCAAACTATAGTTTTTTTTTCATCAAAATCAAATCCATTTTGTCGAACCAATGAAAAAAATGCAAATAATTCCAGCGAATGATTGGAAACAGCTTATTTTCTCCGAACAAAACACATACTTTGTAAACCATTTTCCAAATTTTTGATTGGTAATCACGAAATGTAAATTTGTTGTTCAACTGAATTTTAAATGCTTCAGTTTGAGCCGCATCAATTCCGTGTATTACGTTTCCAAATTTACGAGCCAATTATTCGTATTTGCCTATGCATGTGCATAAATTACGTTCGGCTAAATACAATGTAAAGTACTTTATATCGGATATACATTGTAAATGTAACTGGTTCTCATTTTTCGATTATCTGTTATTCACGGTGTTATCATAAAACTGAAATGGCATTGATAACTTCCATCGGACATTGCTGATTATTTGAAGTTTGCTATTCAACCGATCTCTCCGTGTGTAATTTGCTTCGGATCAAAATGTTTAGAAAATAATCAAATCTCTGTGTATGCCATTCTTCCCGAATTCCCCCATAATGTGAAATGTCAGTTTTTAACGTTGAATAATTTTGTGTGTTGAGCGTTCGCATCTTTACAACCGAGATCATCGACCTCCAACAAAACGATGCGCCAATCGGGAATTTCGAAAATTCCCCTCAATAGATAACAATTTAATAAATATTTTGTAAATGGCGAGGCCAAGTGTGGACGATTAATGCAATTTTCTCTCTCTAATAGGTCATATAGGTGTATGAGTTTGCAATTGATTGCTGTCCAGGGACTGATCCAAATTAATTGATACAGAAGAAGAGCGAGAAATCACCATTCAATATGGATTGAATGGTGTTCAAATAAAATGTTCATATCAACTATGCTGTGCACTAAACCGCCATTCAGCCTACGAGAATAATGACACACGACGAGAGTAGCCTGTTGGGTACGTGGTTTTTATTATTTTGACCGCTTTTGCAATCGATTCATGTTTTAATTATGAGTCGAATGATTCAGATTTTCAAAAGCTATTCATATGAGAGGTGATAACAAACAGAAGCATTCATGTCGAATTTTCCGTGTCACTTGCCAACACAACAGGTTGCCCCTATATATATC